TCACTGTATACGGTGATATTGTCTCTACTGATATTAGCTAACCGTCTAAACAGGTCAGGTTTGCCTGTGTAATATCTGCAGAGCAGAACTTACCTTCCACAGCAATTATTTTTAGTTAGCATATAGCTAAAATCTAACCATGGTTATATAATAGCAGCTGCATTCTGGCACGATAAGCTGTATGTTTTATATTCAATTAACTTATGATCTGATTAGTCGACTAATCGAAAAAAATAATCGGTGATTAATCGATTATAAAAATAATAGTTTCTGGCAGCCCTAGTGTTGCCTAAAATGTTGCAGTGTGACAKGACCTTAAGCTGCACATAGTCCTATCATAAAACTATTTCACATTACTGGAAATGTGGTGAACTGAAGCTGCAACTAACGATTATTTTAATAATCGATTAATCTGTCAATTATTTTTTCGATTAATTGATTAATCGGCCAAATCATTAAAACACTTAATTACATGAATATGTGTAGATATGAATTCATTTCAATCCTATATAAATTAGGGATGCAAGTTATTGATTAATAAATTAATCTAAAGTTGGTTTATCTTATAGATTGGCGAACAATTAATTGATAAGCAGCCATTTTCTTAAAAAAAACAAACAGAGTTTTCTCTTGAATCAAGAGGGTCTTTCCATAAAATGAAAGATTTTTTTATAATCTCCTGAATTAAAAAACAAAAGCACATCATAAATATTTTAACTATTTATTTTGCCAGTTGTATAAAATACAGACTGAAAAAAAAAGTGTATTTCTTCTACATGAAACATGTCATATACTTTTTATCCTATCTTCAGATCTACTTGGCCAAACAACACGATTTAAAAACTGTTTTAAAGTTCAAAGTCTCTGCTTTTCACTCGAGAGTCAGAGAGGACAGATCTTTACAGGTAGAGTTTTTTCTTTCTTCCTAAACTTTATTGAGGTCAGTCAGCATTGACAACGCTCTGCGGGTGACGTAAACGGCTCCGCGACACAGCGAGGGACAAAAAAATCCTGCGTCACAATGAATCGATAAAGAAATTCATTGCCAACACTTTTAATAATCAATTTTTATCGATTTTATAGATTCGTTGTTGCAGCCCTATGATTAAGCCAAATAAATGTAAAATCTGCCTGCTGAACTTATCGGCTGCTGCTCTGCTGTGCTTAGGGCTGCCACAAACAATTATTTTTATAATCGATTAATCACCAATTATTTTTTCGATTAGTCGACTAATCAGATCATACGTTAATTTATATAAAACATAGAGCTTATCGTGCCAGAATGCAGCTGCTATTATATAAACATCGTTAGATTTTAATAATAATAATAATAATACATTTTATTTCAAAGGCGCCTTTCTGACACTCAAGGACACCATACAAAGAGTAAAAAG